TTTTCAAAGTTCATCGCCATCTTAAAACTTGTAATTTCGCAATCCTAGATAATTTTTCAAAAAAAATTATTGAATATTTTTAATTTAGACAATTACAATAAATAAAAGTTGAATGTTACTGAATTACAATTCTCTAAAATCTACCCCCAAACTTCGTTTTTGTTCGAAATGGCCATCATATCCACTCTTGTTGCACAAACTACTAAATGTGTCATTAATTATTCATTTAAAATATCTTTGCAGGCCTTAGTTTAGTGTTCCCATTGAGACTAACCCAAATTACATCAGTGGCATATATAAATATTTTTGGTAATATTAAATAAAACTAGCAAAACGTTTGGTGAAAATTTTGATAATTTTTGATACTCTTGCCCTGGCGATCTGTCAAATATTATAAAATGTTGCTATTGTAATTCTCAAATTCTTGAGCTCTAGTGGCCATGGGAACATTTAAATCATATGATTGGTTTTCAAGATTAAACTTAAGAAATATCACTTCTTATTCTTAATTGACTGTATTTTTTTGTAGCTAATTTTATTTTAATATTATTTGGCATTCCACTAATATAAAAACATATATACAGGGATTAATAACTATTGGGACATAGGCTGTCAGGTTATTTGGACCAAAATATGACGATAGGACCTTAATAAAATATTGCTATGGAATAGGATACAGGGCGTTTATGTTAAACAATAGAATATAATCTCATAGAAAAAATAATTCACTGACAAGAAATTACATTTACCAGGTACAATTATCTGACAGTCCAAAGCAGACTTTTTATAAATGAAATAATATTGAACTGAACTATTCAATTGTTTTTCTCCAAAACGGGTGAAATGATCGTGTTTAAACAGAAGTACCAATATTACGTAGAAATGATTTTTACGTCATATTTTCTAATTAAAGACACTAAAATGTTTCGTCAAACAAAAGCTACTACTTTCCTCATCAGGAATCATTCATGTGCCACCCCCTGTAACAAAATGTGAAATAATACATAAAATAATATTCCTTGTCGAAAGCTCTGTGCCAATTATGATACTAATTCATAAATATTCAGTGACATTATCATAAAAAAACAAAAAAATTCAACTTTAACGCCCTGTACCTTATTACACAGCAATATTTTATTGAGGTAAAGTTGGTCCTATTGCCATATTTTGGTCCAAATAACCTGACCTTAGCCTATGTCCCAATAGTTATGAATCGCCCTGTATAGACATAAACATATTTTTGATAATTACTTACTCTACTTACTCTAGGAAGTAAAATAATTTAATAAATTATTGTTAGAATTATCATTTTTAAAGATAAAACAAAATATTCTACGTACTATATATACAGGGGGATTAGTAAATACCGACGTGGGCCAATATGTTTTTTATAAAATAATTATTAATGTATGATTTTACCTGATTTTTTGTATTTGCTATATTTTTAACTTGTGTATAACTATCCATTTCATTAGCTACAGGGTGATTTACTAAATAGATCAATAATTAATTTATCGAATGAGCTAAACAATAATTTTTGTTTAATCATCCTGTACTTTTTGATTAGTCCTTTAAAGGTATATAAACTGGAATTTTTATTATTTAGTTTACACAAAAGGTTTTATAGAATCAAATACAAAAAAATACGTATTATCTAAAATAACAAAATATTGTTTTTTAATTTTAATTATTTTTATATTACCCAAAAGATCAAGACCCAATCACAGAATAAGGGTACAAGAATAGATAATACAATTAAATTAGAAATTAACTACTACAGTAGGTGAAAAAAAACTGAGAAAATATAATAATAACATTCCTTGGAATATATAAGCAAAACTAAAAATGTCTACAAATTATATAAATTTCCAAAAAAAAAACAAAAATGTTCCCAAAAAATTATCTCCTCTTGTAGTAGGTACTACACGAGGTATTATCCTTGAATATTTATAAAGAAATGACGGCTACTTATTATTACGAATTTATTAATTCAGTCCACAAATCTGATAACACTGATATAAAAAAAATAATAAAATTTACCTCTTACTAAAAATAGTACATAGAAAGAATATTTTATATAAATCCTTAAAGTGTGAATAATTATTCAATAATATTCTTCCCTTCCCTCAAATTTCCTAATTGTTTTTTTTTCTTTTCAGGGAATATCCGTAAAAAAATTTAAATCGCCGCAAATATTTCGAGTTAATCGGTAGCACGATATCAGTGGTTTGAGCTCATGTTCATTTCAGCTCTGACAATAAAGACGTTTGATCTTAGAATGTATATGTCCTTTGATGTTCAATGTAGATCTTTGATTTACATTATAGTATCTTCGGATGTACCTTCTAGGATAAAATGGACAAGGCTGCAGATATACTGCCCGAAGATATATTTTCGTATCAAAGGGCTGATATAGAATTGAACATGATACGATGATCATTAATGTCGTCGGGAATAGAAGATTTTCCGGACGCGATTTTATCGGAAATACTACTGGAAATAATGGATAGTGTGGAAAATTGAAAGTGATACTGGACCAACTAATGGCACGGAGAGTAAAAGAACAATGAGCTGTCTTAAATGGTGAGTCTTTTGAATCAAATTGAGATTTTTATAAACAAATTATTACAAAATATCTTTTCTGCATTTGGAATTCATTTTTATTTACTAAAAAAAAAATGTTCAAAACTTTGGTATTGATATTTAAGGCAAAGATAAGGGTTAGTTAAGACGTGTAACAAGATCAACATCTAAAACTTTTTACACTTTATATACATAAAAACAATTCATTATCTTCTTCCTTCCCCATACAAAGTGCCTTAATACGGCCCTGATGCGAAGGTTCATGACCTATTCACTTTTTATTTAACTAAAGAACATTATTTTGTATTCAGGGCAAATAAGTAGTGCGTTCAGAGAGAGCACAATGTTTGGTTCGAATCTAATTCCATTCATTTAGGATAAAAACATGAAAACCACAGCATATACATTAAAAACAATAGACCGACGACTGAAACCGCTGCTGAAATTGGGTTAAATATTGTCTCATGAGTTTCCTCTCGTACACCATTTTTTTTAATTCGTTAAGAAATATTGAGAAATTAACATTGTTTTAAAAAGATTAGAGTCGTTCACTTTTTTTTTTGTTCCCAATAATTATTATTTATAATTATGTATTTCAGCTGTTGCTATAATAAAGATGTTTAATATACAAAGTGTTTATTTAAGACCATACGGTTATTCGTATTTCAACATCATTTTATTGCATTTTAAATTGTGATAAGATCAAGTTTCATAAAGGTTTCACTTAGAAATAAATTAATTTAGAAATAACCTTTAATGTCAATTCAATGTAAATCAAATTATCAGTTGTTCTTTTCCATACGTTTAAAAGTATCATTTAAATGTCCCGTTCTAATTTTTTTTGATAAAGTGTATGAGACGTATAGTCATGAAACAACCTGTACCATATATTTCGCATAAATTTTGAATAGGAAAAGAAGAAACCTTATAAGTTTACATTTTCCGCTATAGCAGGAAAATTGTACAAGTAATAAAATTAGAATATATTATGGAATAGGCAAACAGATTTATCAAGTAGGGAGATGTTCAAAAGGGATAATGCACAAACCGTTTTCGGCATATACGAGAAATCCAATTTTATTTTCAATAACAAATTTTATTTTTTATTAATTGAAAATTATATGGAAAGGTTTTTAAAATTGAATTTATTTGGACTAAGCTTTAAACAAAATTACTTTTTATAATTAACTATAGCTATAACAGAGAGTAAGTTCCAATGAAATATTTACTTACTATTCATTCTGTGTATTGTTTTGATAGAAACTTATAACTTCAAATCTTCATCCATAAAGATACAGGATGGCCAGACAATAACGAAATAAATCTATTATCAGGAATTGCGTCAACATTTCAAAGTCAAACGATCGGACTTTTTATCATATCCTTAATTGTCACACGTAATTTCCCCCACTCCGTCACACTAACCAATACAATTTAAATAGGTAAAGTACCAAGTACCACTGAAAAGGTTAATTTATGGATAATTGGTTGGGGGTTAGAATCCCCTCCATGGAAGGTCTTTGCGTCACCGTTACCGCCATCTTATTGCTTCTTGGCGCTGATCGCTATTAAATGTTTGTTTTTATTCACTTTCTTTTATCGTTTTATAAAAAAATATTTATTTTCGACTACTTTGTTTTAATAAAAACAATATTATTTAAAATATTTCAAATTGTTGATGGAAGTCCCTTATAGTTCTCAGAAATCCCTCCCATGAAAAATTTCTAGCTATGCCACTGAATTTGTCATACTTAATACTTTCCCTATTTAAATTATTGTATTGGTTAAAGTGACTGAGAGGAGGGGAATGGCGTATAACAGAGGATATGATAGAAATATGTCCTCCTTTAATAAAAAATTGACGTGTCCCAGCGTTTGTCTAAAATGGTGACGCAGTTCCTAGTAATGGACTGTTTCGGTTTCGTCTGGACATCCTGTAAATTAAGATATTTTTATAATCAAATAAAAATACATACTTAACTCAGCATGACCTATAAAGACAGAGATACACGTAATATCCGTGATACGACCATTCACTGTTGGGTTTTAATTAACAGTGCTGTTCCTAAAGTGGCGCTGGGAAACAGTAACAAAGCATACACAGAACACGAGGCGACATAACCTTAGCAGCTGAAGCCGATGACACAAAAAAATATCCGTGATAACTAGGCACGGCTCTGAATTAAATCCAAACTGACACAAAAAAAGAAAAAGAATGGTACGCTGCGACATGCGTGAATTTTTCCAAGGCCAACTTTAGAAACTCAAAATGTATGCAAATTATAAAACCTCGTATAAAAAGCTTAAATTGATAGTTCAGTTCTTGTAATTATTGACATTATTGCCATTATCAATTCTCGATATATAAATTCTAAATCGGTCAATGTAACAATATAAATACACATTTTTCTACTTACTTTTGTTTTTGTTCCTTATGTCGCAAAAGCAACGTTTTCGCCAATTTATCTAGATTTTTCGAATAGTCTAATTCTAACTCGCCCCTTCGTCTGAAGAAGTCTTGGATTTCCGTCAGAAGAGCGACTTGCGCTTCCATGCGCACATCTAGACATCTCAGCTGTTCGTTTAGTTGCAACCGAATATCTGAAACAAATAAAAAAATGATTAACTAATAATACTTAGTTTGAAGCTTTTCCTAAAGATGGCATCATAGTTGGTGAAAAATTTGTGGGCTTACTGCAAAAACTGATCAAGTCAAAATTTGTCAAATGTTAATATGACCAAGTCACTATAAAAATTGACCAAGACATATTTACCTCTCAATACTGTTATAATCTACACAATAATTTATGTTACGGTTTTTAATTTCAAGTAAAAATGGCTTGGTCATATTCACTCAAATTTTACAACTGTTGACTTGGTCAGTTTTTGCAGTAATCCCACTATGTGAAGGTACTACGAAAGCGGTAAATATTAAATTATTTGATTTATAGAAGACATTTTGATTGAGTTTTGTCTCTAAACAGGCGTATTTATGATTGCTGTCGAGTTTAATCAGTAAACAACACAATTATGGTTATGTTCTATTTCAAGGATTTAGTCAATTTAAAATATTTTGTACTGGAAATTTATAACCCTATAATAATGCAACGTTTTCGTAATAGAAATAAAAAAAATCATATATTATCATGAATCGAAAGAATTAAGTATTAAAACTAGGTAAACTAAACTATCTTTAGTTACATTTAAAAAAGCTATTCAAGTTTGAAAAAGATTTATCTATCTAAACATATGGATCAAGAAAATAAGTTATTTTCCATTGAACCAATTGTAAAGACACTGATAACTGAGAAAGTTCTGCATTTAATTTTTTCAATATGTATTCTCTGATACGTCGATCTTGAAGCATCTTGACAGGCGGATCTCGAGTATGTTGACTTTTGAAACACGTTCTTCCATACAATTCATGCCCCTATTGTATACACAATATACGAGATACTTCCCCACAGTTGTAACGTTGTAACAATAGGGAGTTTGAGTTGACGCCATCCCTTTTTTGATCATATCATTTTCACCAAATTTATTACGAGATATTGTTTTGAATTATGTCATTAATTATTAATATGAAACGCGTTGAGATGTAAAACTATTTTGTATACATAACCTTTCGATTATGACATCTTCAGAAATGTTTATAAATCACATAACTGTAAAATAAAGAAAAAGGCGTTTTTACTCAAACATTTTAAACTTTGGTACATTTATATCTACAAAATTTTGAAAGAGTAGTTATCCAGAGATCGAACCTATACACTGTATCAATAGGCAGCATAGAATATTCGGTATTATCGTGAAATAAGTCTGACCCTGTTCTTTGTTCACCTTAACAAACATTTGTTAATGGATTCCGTGACCACATAATGTAGAAAACACTCCGCTTAGCCCTTCAGAAAACATTGGTCGATGTCTTGTCCGCTGCTCTAGAGGCACCTACAAGAGCACTGTACAAGAGCAGAAGACGTGGAAGATAAACTTGACCAACTGGTAAACATAATGAAGACGAAAACCATTAGGTGCTGGAATTGCGGTGAACTGGGACATGTACGCAATTCGTGCAAACGCCACAACAAATGAAGACAACACGTCGAAGGAAAACTAAAGCGGGTCAGCCCAGAGGAGACAGCTTCGACCCAAAACCAATCCAACAAAGACCCTCCAATACTGATAGCCTCTTTGAAATGTCGCGATGATAGTGTATACGTAGACGGTGAAGTAAATGGTAAAAAGTATGCATTATTGGTGGACACCGCAAAGGGCTTCTACCAACAAGGTTGCGACTGTGGACTGCCACAGGTGAAAGTGCCAAAATCCATTGCGAAATCCAGATATAATTAGGAATTGGTACAGGAAAGTTCACTTATATTGTTAATGTCATTGTCGCTGATATCGAAGATGTTAAACTTGGAATGGATGTAATGAACTTACTTGGTTTCCAGGTTAAGAACAGAGTGACCAAAGCTGGTGCCGAGAAGGCATTTCTTCGTCCATATAGGGACAGTACCGTGCCAGTAGCTGTATGGTGGTACATGTTAGAAGTGAAACCATTATAGTAGCACGTTTCAAGAAACCATGGAAGAAGGAAGACGTGTCATGATGGAACCCAGGAACCACAATGAAGAGGTTAGTCAAGGAATTCTAATCAGAAGAAGGTTGGTCACGACTACTAAAGAAATTCCAGTAATTCTCATAAACGTTAATGATCACCTAATTACCATCAAGAAAGAAACCAGAATCGGAACCTGAGTACCAGTAACTTCCATAATTCGTCAGACAACTTCTAATAATTCCGATGACAAATTCGAAGAAGGATTGCAGTTGCTGGTCAATTTCTGAGTCGATTAGAGAAAAGGAAAAAAAATTATTTCTTCGACGATATCGTGACATTTTTATACGAAAAGGAGGAAAAACAGGAAGAACTTCTGTTGGAAAACATAAAATTGACACTGGTGACGCCAGTCCAATTCATCAATCAGCTCGAAGATTACCAAAGGCTAAGAAAGAGAAAGTTGAAAAGATTGTTCGGAAAATGGAGGAAGACAGGCTGATATAACCTTCTACTAACCCATGGGAAAGCCTTGAAACTTCAAGATGGATCGCGTTACCTTTTCTATCGAGTTTTCTTTTCTTATAACCTATACTTGTATTTAGTTTGTTATAGAATGAAATAAACTTACGATTATTTAAAAATCCCCGAAGATATCGCCTATCTGGAATCTTTTCTTTCCACATAATTTAAAAAATATTTTAGACTAATTAACCAAAAATGCACTTGTTTTCATGTGAGGAAAATTTTACAAACGGTTTTAACATCATCAGAAGATGCATTATACTGCGTTGGTAATGATTAATGAATTTATAATCTCAAATATTTTATTTTATATTTTTTTAATGCAACTTTTAATAGGGAAATTAATCATTGAAAAATGCAATAAATATTTCTGTAGTCTATTAGATAAGAAGTTTAATGAGTAATTTTATGAAATTTTAACATTCTGCGTTTTTTTTTGTAAAGTTTTAAAAAACGTGACCGAATTAATTTGAACGGAAAGAAATGTATCGTTTCACATTAAATGTTTTATAGAAGTGCGCGTCAAATTACCTAAGAGCATAGCAATAGATTACACGGTTACTGGCAATTTTTTTAACTGCAGAGAAAGTTGTAGCAACGATGCGTGAAAATGTTGGGTTAATGACCAAATTCATAAAACTAAACATGGTAGTAGAATTAGTCCAGTTGCTTTACAACAATTTAAAAAGCAGAATTACTATTTTTAGCAGTTTTTAATACTGGGATTCATATAAGAGATTTGATACTGAATTCGGATCAGTCTTCAAAATTATTAATGACCTTAGCAGTCGATGTCGATGACACCAAATTAAAAAAAAATAAATATTAAAAGTTATGTAGTTTTTGAGTTATTCCAAAAAAAAAAACTGAGGACGGCCCATTTTTTTTTGTTTATTAACGTTAATTTAACATATTCCAAAGTGTTATATTCTTAAGACACCTTTTTAATGGAGATTATTTTTGTAGAAAAAACAATTCAAATTGTCGTTTTCAATTTACCAACCGTAACTTTTTTATTTTTTATGGATTGTTTCACGTTATTTCCTTCTAAATTACCTTTTAAACGATGTGCCATATATTTGTTGTTTCTTATGGTGGCCATCTTGAATTTTTACCTAATATTATATTATTTTAAACGATGCCACATACTATCCAAATTGTTAAAAAATACGATTTGTCGCAATTGTACTTGCAGTCAAGCATAATTGCGAACTGTAAAGTGGCTCTAAAGATTCCCATATAACCACTAATGATATTTCCCAAAAAATTCTACGAAATAAAAACTATTTTCTATTAATACAGCATCTATACCAATTATTGAAATTATTTTATTTTAAATGTTAAATTGTTAATGTCCCCGACAGTCAAAGAAAAGCTTTGGTAGCAATAATGACGATGTAACTGCATAAAATTAAATTATTATTGGTCTGCATCATGGCTGCCAGTATGAAAATGACAAATCGTACTGAAAAACATTTTAAAACGTACTGAATTTAAAAAAAAAAACTAAAAAAAATGATTTTCTTGTAATTTAACACTTTTATTAAATTATATAATCTTTATGTATAACAAAAAAACGTCTTAATCCATTTTACTTTCAGAATTACTACCAACAAACGTTCAATAAATTTAAATTTCAAATAAATTATTTGACTCATAACGTGACTTAACTGTCATCCATCGTTAATAAAATACCTCACTTTATTCAAAAAATGTCAAAATAGTACTGAAAATGGTACTGAATTGACTATTTTGTTGATAAAATACGTCACTTTATTCGAAAAATGTCAAAATAGTACTGAAAATGGTACTGAATCACTCACGTACTGAAAAAGTTGAAAAAGTATTGAATTCAGTTCATACGTACTAAATCTGGCAGCCCTGGTCTGCATTAAGAAAACGCAAACATTTCCGCATGACCCTCGTATCAGTTCCAACTAAACAACTCTGTAAAATTACCTATGTATATCGAGTGGATATAGTGTTTTTTATTTCATGATTAGTAGTTGTTAGTTTAGTTTTTTTGTACTCATATTTCTTCTGTAAACAGCTTTGATCACGCAAGAAATTTCGAATTGTTATTGGGCATATATGTCCATAAAATTTATGACCAGAATAACATACAATGTATGATAAAGTTTAATTAATTTTAAGGGCGATGAACGCCTATAACTACAAAAATTAATTTTTGTTATAATACAAAAATAAAAGATGAAATTTACTTAGTATTCCTTTTACGCTATACCTTAAATTTCTTTTATTGTGAAATGAAAAACTTGTAATATTCCATAAAACGAAACCTTACCAGTATTCATAAGTTGAAAAATTAAATTAAAAAAGTCAGCAGCTGCTTTAAATGGGTTTCCAAGCAGCGTGATTCTTAGAATTGCAGAAGTTACTGTTGTTAATGAACTTCCACGTTACATAATCGATACAGGTAACTTTCAACTTTCAGAGTCATTAACACATACAGGGTTGGACAAGGCGATTTTGTTTTTTAGATGAGCATTTTTTA